GAGTGGTGGTGGAGGTGGAGCACCGCCATGCCCTCCAGGGAGTGGCGGTGGAGGTGGAGCACCGCCATGCCCTCCAGGGAGTGGCGGTGGAGGTGGAGCACTGCTGTGGCGTCCAGGAAGCGGTGGTGGAGGTGGAGCACTACCATGGCCCCCAGGCAGTGGTGGTGGAGGTGGAGCACTACCATGGCCCCCAGGCAGTGGTGGTGGAGGTGGAGCACTACCATGGCCCCCAGGCAGTGGTGGTGGAGGTGGGGAGGTGGAGACCCACCATATCTCCTAGGAGGAGGTGGTGGGGATGGAGCTCTAAAATTCCCTACAGGTGGCAGTGGTGGAGGTGGAACTCTCATGATTAGAGCTGCGGGTTCCTCATCACCTTCTGATAGTAACAATGAAGGTTGAATTTCGCCATGCCTTCCCGAGGGTGGTGGGGGTGGTGGTGGAGGTGGAGGTCCTTTAGAGGGTGAGGTGGGAGGTGGGGAAGGAGCTAGGTGAGAAGAAAGTGATGATGGAGGGGCATTGATTATAGGAAGTGGAGGAGGAGGTGGAGGAGGTGGAGGAGTCCAACTGGTTTTGTTGGAGCAACGGATGGCAGTGGAAGCGGAGATGGAACTCCTAGTGAATACATCAAAGGCGGCGAGGGAGGGGAAGGAGGTGAGGCTGGAGCTCCTCCATTTAGTCTAGATGGAGAGGATAAAGATGAATCTTTAGGTGCAGGTGTGGGAGATGGAGGGGATGTTGGTGGAGCTCCTTCAAATGCTTTGGATAAAGAGGACAAGGGTGAAGCTCCTAGCGGAAATTGGGGAGGAGGTGGAGGTGGGGGTGGAGGTCTTGAAAGAAAAACGGATGGTGCAGGAGACAGTGAGGGAGGTTGAGAGGATATACCTTCTTCGAATGCTCTGGATGGAGAGGATAGAGGAGAAGCTCCTGGTGTAAGACGAGGAGGACGTGGGGGTGGAGGTGGGGATAGATCCCTTGAAAGAAGAACAGACAAAGGAACGACTGTTTTAACATGTGGAAGCACTGGTGGAGCTCCTAAGGATGAAGGAAGTAAGGATGAGACCGGAGGTACAAGACCCCTACATGTTATAGGGGAAAGGCCTAGAGGTGGAGGTGGAGAAACACTTCCAAATAAAGGACGTTGAAGCACAGATGAAGCTCCAGTAAAACTAGGTGGTGGTGGTGGTGGTGGTGGTGGTGGAATTGGAGCTCCACTAAATGCTTGTAACAGTGTAGGCGCTGAAGGGAGCTGAGATTCTCCATCTCCACATGGCTTAGAGGGAGAGAATGAAGGTATAACATCTGTAAAACATGTGGATTCCCGTGGCACTTCACATGTTCCAGGAAGAAGCAGAGTGGTTAAAGGTGGAAGCATGGGCGGGGGTGGAACTCTGTGTCCTTTATGAACAGAGGATGGAGGTGGAGGTGGAGGTGGAGGTGGAGGTGGAGGTGGAGATGAAATTCCAGCTAGCATTGGCAGTGGAGGACCCTGAGAATTTTCAGCTTGCGGTGCTAATGGAAAGGAAGGGGAAGGAGTATCTGATTTCTTCCAAATAAGACGAGAGAGTGGTGGTGGAGCAACTCTAGAGGAAGTTACTTTCTGGCTAGGTGATGGAGGACAAGATGGTAATTGTGAAGAGGTAAGTGTTGGTGGAGAAGGAGCAGGAGGTGCTTTTGTAGAGGTTTCTTGCAGCTTACAAGGAAAAGGTGGGGGAGATGGCATTAGAGGAGTCATTGCTGCAGGAGATAAAGGCATGGTAGATGCAGAAAAAAGACAGGGTGACGGAGGTGGAGGCCGTGGAGGAGGCTGAAGCCGAGGTGGAGGTCGAGGTGGAGGTGGAGGCAGTACTTTGATGGAAGATATGGAATCCAGGGGTACAGATGGTCGAGGAGGAGACGGCATCACATGCACTGGTGGAAGAAAGGGAACTTGTTCAACAGGTAGATGAAGAGGGTCAAAAACTACAGGTAGAGGTGGAAGCAGAATTTTGATTGAAGATTTGGAACACAAGGGTAATGGTGGTAGTGGAGGAGGAGATGGGATCGCATGCATTGATGGAAGAGGGTCACAAATTGTCGCACTTATTTTTGGATGTGAAAGTGAAGAAGAGGAATGTTGACAGTTAGATGATGATATACTGAAGGAGAGAGGCGGTGGTGGAGGGGGCGAAGGAATATGGAATGTTGAGCTTGTTTCAAGAGGTGGAAGTCGAGATATTGATGTGGAACTTGTGGAAGAAGTTTCTAATTTAGTAGGCAAAAAAGAACCTAGGGGTGAGGGTGGGCTTCTATGAGATGGCAATGGAGGATGTTCAGATGAGTGGGAAGACAAAAGGGAAGGACAAGGTGTAAGGGAAGCAGTAGAGACCCCCTCCAATCGTGAAGGCATAGAAGGTGGTGATGCAGGGGTTGATGAGGATTCTGAACTCACAGCTCCGCTGTGATGTCCTGTCCCTGATTTTGTTTCTTCTTTGTAGTCAACTTTTGATTCCTCTAGTTCAATTTCCTTGTCAGATAAAACAACATCACAGCATGCTAGCAGTTTGTTTGGTGTCATAAGTATCTCGTCAGGTTCTATGTGCTGATAGAGAGCCTTATTTTGAATGGTGCCGATCTCTGCATCTCTGACATCACAAGTTTCCAGTTTGATATTCATTTCATGAACCATATTACACTCTTGAGCCTGACAAAGAATTGAAGGTTCTTCAATGTTGTGAATAACACCAGTGTATGCATTACTCACGCAATTATCAGTATCTAGTTTGTGATTCTCTGTACCGTACGAGTCTGTCATCCCAGACTTAGAATCCATACAACAGTGAATAAATTGCTTTCCAGTAAAATCATTCTCAATCGCATTTCCTAAAATCCTATTATCCATCCTGATAACCTCTTCATCTGCTAGCTTATGAGGTGTATCATCTGAAGTAATTGGCACAACTGCATCCTGTATACGCTGCTCAAACCCCCCTGTTTCTGATGTAATCTGACATTCACCTGTCAGATCTAGAATATCCTCTGTATGTATTCCAGTATTTGCTGGATCTAGTTTATTTTTTTCTAGAACTGCTAGCGTAGGGTCAATTCTTATGCAATCATCAGTGTCAAATTTGCGACTCATACTTTCGCCAGCAATGTAAGAGGTCCCAGGTTTAGAATTCATATAATCACAGGTGCACTTATATTCCTCCAAATCACTTCGGGTATCATGTTTGGAAACTTCAGTTTCTAGTTTAAACTCCGGTTCATCTGCAATTGGGATTTCAAACTTTGGAGCTGTATCATCTGAATTAATCATGCTAATTGTGTCCTTTAAATCTTGCTTCAACTCACTGGTGTCTGATGTAACCATATCTTCAATTGCTCCAGCAAGAATATCTACTGCCTCCTGTTTGATAACTGAGGTCTCTAATAGACTCTCTTCTCTAATTACTGATGAAGTGTTTCTTCCTGTTGCCATATTCAACTTATTCAAAGAAGTACAACTTTCCCCATAGAAACTTTTATCAAATTTGAGGTTGCCGGAATCAACAAACTTCCCCGTGAACATTTCACGCATGAGCTTTCTATTTTTTGTAATAGATAATTGTTGACTGCTGCTAATAATATCCAGATCTTGGTCAGAACTGCTAAAATCAAACCTGCCTGAATCAACAAACTTCCCTGTGAATGCTTCGCGCATGAGCTTTCTATTGTTCGTAATAGCTAATTGTTGACTGCTGCTAAGAATATCCAGATCTTGATCAGAACTGCTAAACTCAAATCTTCCTGTAGCTTCAACTTCAGGATTTAAAAGCCCGAATACACATTCGTTACTCCCATCCTGTAAAGAAGTTTTGATAGCAACCATCTGAAGATCAGGATCTCTCTGTCCTTCACTCCAATCTAAACTGCTGAAAATTTCTTCTGCCTCGAAGAATTCTTCTGTTGAGCCACATTCTGACTCATCGTCATCTAAAATCACAGGTTCTGGAATGATACCGGACCCCACATCAAAGTCTGAAAAGTGTACCTGGTTCAGGCACAAACGCTCTTTAACCTCCCATAATACCAAAAAGAAACACCCTGCAAGTAAGAGTAACCAAAACCTACCTCCGCTTTGAAGTTCTCTACAAAGTGATCCTTGGTCTTCCACAAGACATCAACTGCTTTGTGGTCTAGCAGCATAACGTTAGACTCAACAAAAGCTGTGTTGAACATAACCCTAAACATAATTTCTTCATGCTCCAAGTTCTCATCCATGTGTATGCATTCAAGGACAACATCTCCTTGAATGCAGCACTGAACATCTAGTTTTATAGCTGAACTATCTGCCTGCAGTAAAAAGCTCAAAGTCGATTATCCTAGATATAGAAAAATATATGCACAAGGACTGAAGCATTACCTGTCTAACATACTGAACCTTTTCTTTGTTTCTGAAAGTCGAGAAAAGAAGCTTGGGTGTTCTATCAATCGGCATTAACGGATCTTGACCATAGACACGAACAAGTGGCCTACAACCCCCTTCTCCATCGAAATTCGGAACTAAACTAAGAACTAGACATAACAAAGTGAAGGGCATATCTAGCAATGGTTCCTCCAGATCATCGTCATGATTGGAAACGTAATGAAGATATCTCACATGGGAGGACTGAGGGTCCAAAGGAGAGGACAGATGAAGCAGCTCCTTAGGAGCCTGCTTATACACCAGCTCCAGCGTCCTAAGCTCCTCGGTGTACTGCTTCTTGTAGAGCAAAAGACCCGCCAGCATAAACGAAAGCACAGGCCATCCTCCTCTCTCACAATGCATTAGCAAAACATTTTGTTCACCTCCTAAAGAAAGCCAGCTATCGCATGCCCTTAAAAACTTCTGTATGATCTCAAAAGGAAGCACCGGACACCCTACATATTGCTGAGGGTAATTTATGACCGTGATATCGTACTGCAATAGAACCTCAGATATTTGGTTCTTCCTTTCACCCTCTCTGAAATTAAAAACCATGAATGAAGCTTCAGGGAAATAAGTCTGCAGTTGCGCCACAATTCCATCCAAGTAATCCCTATACTCCTCTTCTTCCATGACTTCCGAAGAAAAGCAACAGTCAAACACTGCAAGAGATATGACACGAAAAAATCGTTAATTGGTTATAAATTGCAGGAGCAAATGATGCATTTTTAGAGTATAAATTACTGGGCCATCATGACAAATCTAGCCTGATTGGAATCCTACTATCAACAGAGCAACACCCAACTTCGAATGCCATAGCTTATGCAATGCTTGTCTCCTATCCATAAAAGGAGACTCTTTTCCAAATCCACGCCTAAATCGCACTAAAATGCCCAAGATTATCAGTCTCAAAATGTTCAAGGTCCTAGTAAAAAAGCTTGGCCCACCCAAAATGAAGCCCTAGGGTTTCAACATTGTGAAAAGTGGGGACCAGGATAACAAATTACCGTAAACTCTCTCCGTGATCTCGAGAAGCCGATCCGGTGGCTTCTCCAAATCCGAACCCTAATTTCCCGCCAACTCAACAACGGAACCGAATTCGAATTCCGCAAAAAAAAAACAAACAAACAAACGATCACACAAAAATCGATACTAATTTCCCCCAAAATTTAATTCCTCTACGTCGAATTAGGGATTTTAGGCGCTAGGGTTTTAAAATAGCATTATGAGGCAAAAAAATGTCAGAGATTTGGGGAATTTTGAGCTCTGTGTTCTTTTTGTCCGTTTGCTAACGCTCGCTGCTTCGAGAGGGAATTGGGGAATCGAGTTGGCTCAGCTGCCTGCGTCTCAAACGGCGTCAACTGTCCGTTATGTGGGCCCCGTGGGCTCTGATGAGAGATATGGTGGGGCCCATATCAATGTCATGACAGTTATTGGAGGTCCCGGATACCGTTATGAACTTATGATACGCCGGGCCTAGTTCGAATTTGGAAAAGGTTAGAATATTCCTGGATTATATTATTCCTTGATTTGTATTGTATATCAGCAAAAAATGATTTGATTGAATATTAGCATGAGAAAAATAAAAGCCAAATAAACTGTTTGAACATTATGTTCAAAATAACAACTTAGACAAAAATATAAAAGGTTCCGTATAGCGTAGTAACTTGCAACGTCTAGCAAAGTATTGAAATAGAGAGTGAACTTAAAATTAATTCGAAGGAGTAGTTTAGGACTAAGTGTGATCTTTGAAAGAGGGTGGATTTCAATAATTAGTTGTTACCCTGCAATGTACGGGATTGAAATTAATATTCTTGCATATGATATTAGATTTTGGAAAAAGGTTGAAGATAAAAATAAGATTTTTTTGGAATGAGAGAAAAAAATCAAGGATTTATAGAGATTTGAAAGGGAAAAAAAGAATAGAGATTTTCAAGATGTGGATGGTAGTAAATTAAAGTGGGGTGGTGTAAAAAAGTATTATTAGCCATTAAATACTAAACCTCTTAGAAATTGCCAAGTGACAAAAACATGAAACCATATTTTTATTTTATTAGTATAGTATTGATTCCATATTAGTCCGTCAAATCTTAAAAATTGCTTATTAGTCCCTCAAATCTGAAGGATCTTACGATTTGGTCGCTCAATGACCAAAATACTCTTCAATTTTTCTTCTCAATCCTCATTAACACAACACCTCCAACAGCCTTCCTACATGTCTTGCCTTCAAATGAATCCCTCTCATTGCCAATCTTCTCATCATACTTTTTTCCCCTTAGAAATGACACTAATTCCCTATTATTTTCAAACTCATTGACCTTTATTGAGTACTCTTCGTGTATGATATGGAGACTGGTATAGTTGCTCCATTACTTTGACTTTAGTTTGCCTATTGAATAACCTTCTCCCTGCAATGTCTATCACAATCCACTTTAGCAATGAGAAGAAGAGCTTTCTTGAATCTTGGACAAGGGTGTAGAGAGGGATGGAGAGCAAGAAGGCTAGCGATGATGGGGTGGTCAGGGCCAGGTGATTTGGGAGCAACAGTCTGACTTGCATTTAGTGGATTAGAGATGGAGAAGAAAGAAGCAATGACATTTTGGTCATTGAGAGACTAAATTGCAAGACTCTTTGATAGGATCTAAGATGCAAGGCTAGAGGCGAGATAAATAGGATTGCCTACCAATTTTTAATAAATACAAAATATGCAGCGGAAATAAAACAAATATAATCAAAATTAAGTAAATAACAATTAACCAAAATACACAAATTTTTTATAGTAGTTTGGATATACAACCTACTTCCACTTTTTCTTCATGCGATGAGGCTTCTTCACTATGATGAAAGTTCTCCTAAATCACAAACCTAATTCATTTAGCCTACATGACCGAAACATTAGTTTACACAAACTAGTCGTCTGACCTAACTCTCAAAGTGAATAAGTCTAGTTCTAACTGGTAACTAAACCTCAATCTGCCCTGGCTTGAGTGTGCCATCACAGATAAATTACAATATTATAATAAAAGAGTTTAGAAATAAAAATAATATAGTTAAGCCAAATAAAATAAGCTTAGAGCCCTTTCAACTTTGCAAATTAACTATTCTCCTTCATGATATACATGAAGCTTTTGAAGAACAACGATGGTGATGAAGTCCAACATGCATCACTCCTTGAAGATTGATGATAAGATGATAAAGAATAACATCGAGGATGCAAATTGAGAAGCTTGAGCAAGGATAATGACCAAAGTTGAGGGCCAAATCTCTCTCTCTCTCTCTCTCTCTCTCTCTCTCTCTCTCTCTCTCTCTCTCTCTCTCCTCTCCCCCTCCCTCCCTCCCTCCCCCTCTCTCTCTCAATTAGGTACAAGAATATCTCTTAAAATCATGAGGAGTGAGCTTTTTCTTAAATAGCCTCAGCAACCAATGGTTCAAATTAAATCTAAATCAAACTAGGAATATAATTGCAGCCCTGCTTCTCATCAAATGAACAAATGACTCATCTATGAGCATAGCTCTAGCCTCATTAATGAGCTCTCATCCTCATCGATGAGTTTGTGACTATAATCAAATTTTCTCTCGGTATCATTCTTATTGACGCATATGAAGACTATTGATGAATCTACTCCTATGTTCATTGATGAGCATAAATACCCATCGATGAGCATAAATACCCATTGATGAGTATTATGTTGATTTATTAATTCTGACTAGTTTCTTGCTCTTTCACATCTGAACTTAATTTTAACTTCTTATAACATGTATACAATACCTCAAACATGTATTAAATTAGTATGAAAGTTTAATACTCATCAAACTAAGTCATTGTCCGTACACATATGAACATGATCCTAACACTCTCAGGATTTGAGGGCTAATATGGAATTACTGAAGATATAAGGGACTTATATCTAAATAGCCCTAACAAATAAACATATTTATAAGGGAGTTTTATAATTTTACCTAACATCTCAATATATTTATTATATAAAGTATCACAAGTTAGGTATACCTCATCATCAGAACTCTCGTGTTTAGATTGTTTGACTTGACCTCTTTTCCTAATGAGACAAAGGTGCACCCTTTTTTCATCATCACTCCAGCCATCTCTGGCTCTCTTCTTCTCCATTTAACATGTTCCTTGTGGTCATCTTGAACTTTTGCCTTTTTCTTATTATCTTTCTTGTTCAACGAGCAATTCTTTCTAAAGTGACCTGATTTCTTACATCGATGGGGCCTGATTTCTTACATCGATGACTTGTTGGATCAAAATCAATTTTTTTACCTTATTAGTGTAACATTTTCATTTAAATTGCAGGAACTTTTGACATTCTTTTGTCTTGACGAAGGATTCGAAGCCTTTCACAATTAGCCGAACATTGTTATCTTTCTCACTTTTAGAACTCAAGCTAATCTCCTTCTTTGCATTAGCCTTTAAGTGTTACTTATTTGCTTTGAGTGTTAATGATATTTCTTTGGGTCATCCTCCAATTGATCTTTTCTCTGCTTCAATCTTGCTTCATGTATGATGAGGTTTCTTATAAGATTATCAAGAGAGCGTTTAGATAAATCATGGGATTCTTCAGTAGTAGTTACCTTAGCATCTCATTCAGAAGGTAGTGATTGGAGGACTTCATGAATAAATTCTTCTTGGCTATACTCCTTTCTCGATGACTTCGATTTGTTTACAATATTTGTAAAGTGTGTGAACTTCTCTTGTATCCTTTCTGGGACTTTCATCTTGAAATTCTCATACTTGGTCACGAGCATTGCAAGGTTTGCCTCCTTGACATGGAGTACCCTTGTGTATGACCTCCAGAGTATTCTAAATTCTTGCGTAGTAGTACAAGAAGACACAAGTAAATTCTTTAATAGTAAGAGAACAATATAATACATTCATAACTTTAGTGTTTTCAGAATAAACTTTCTTTTCAGGTGCTATCCACTTGTCTCTAGGTCTAACTATTGTGGTTTCACCTACTGTCTCTGTTGGTTCATGATAACTGAACTCTACAATGTACCAAATGTATAGTCCATGAAAAAAAGAAAAGGTTTTGTACTTGCTTTCCAATATGAAAAGTTTATGCCATGAAAAAGAGAGGGTCATCTAACTGCATGACCTTTAGAAAACGAAGTTATTATGCTTAGATTGGCCATGTATCCTAGGATCAGTCGACCGACCAGAGGTGATTTCAGCCGACAGGTTCTCATGTATATACACATTTATACACACACACACACACACACACACACACACACACACACACACACACACACACACACACACACACACACACACACACACACACACACACACACACACACACACACACACACACACACACACACACACACACACACACACACACACACACACACACACACACACACACACACACACACACACACACACACACACACACACACACACACACACACACACACACACACACACACACACACACACACACACACACACACACACACACACACACACAAATTATATTTATTTATCTCAGAATAATATCAACCATAATAAAACTCATTTAATATTATTTATCATAATATTTTCAAATTCACGGGGTTTTACATTCACCCCTCCTTAAAGAGAATTTCTTCCCCGAAATTCATCAACTATAAATCACAAAACATGTGTCATATATGCAATATTTACACTTAACATCTAGAATATAAATACTCTCACTTAACCTCTAGTTAAACGGAACTAGTACGTCGGGTGAAAAATCCAAATAAGGAACCCTATATATGTATATACCGTATGTTCCGAATGATCAGGTGTGAAGTGTTAATACCCACATTCCATCGTGAAATGTAAAAAGGCGGCTATATAGATAAAATGAACACAATCAATACTATAGTTAACAATATACATACTTGAACATGTATGGGTAGTCGCGATGCATATCTTCCTCGCGCTCCCAGGAAGCTTCTTCAGCTCCTTTCCTATTCCACTAAACTTTAACTAATGGGATCACTTTATTCCAAAGTTTCTTGTCCTCTCTAGCAAGAATACGAACCGGTATCTTAATTGTAGTCAAATATGTATGAAGTTCTAAGTCTGGTGCATCAAACACTCTCTGCTGCTTCTCATCACGTAAGTGCTTCTTAAGCATCGAGACATGAAAGACATTATGTACTCCCGACATTGATGCTGGAAGATCTAGTCGGTATGAGACGGTTCTAACACGATCAATAATCCTGAACGGACCAAAATATCTTGGGCTCGGGGCAAGCTTTCCTCGTCTGCCGAACCGTTTGACACCTTTCATAGGTGATACCTTCAATAAGACGTAGTCTCTAACCTGAAATTCTATGGGTCGTCACCTCTGATCTGTGTAACTCTTTTGTCGGCTCTGGGCAGCAAGAATATGCTCTCGAATCAATGCTACATTCTCTGTAGTTTGCCTTACAAGGTTTGGTCTAAGTAGTAAGCCATCCTCCGGTTCTGCCCAACAAATCAGAGATCTACATGGCCTTCCATACAATGCTTCATATAGAGCCATACTTATAATCGATTGAAAACTATTATTATAGGCAAACTCAATTAAGGGTATATGATCTTCCCAACTTCCTTAGAAATCTAATACGCATGCGCGAAGCATGTCCTCCAATATTTGGTTGACTCTCTCTGTTTGACCATCCGTTTGCGTTGGAAAACACTACTATATGCTAGTTGGCTGCCGAAAGAAGTCTTGAAGCTCTTCCAGAAATGTGATGTGAATACTGAGCCACGATCTGATACAATCATCTCTGGAACTCCATACAATCTCACAATCTCCCGAATAAAAATTCTAGCATAAGTCTCCGTCGTATGAGTTGTCTTAACTGGCAAGAAGTGCACTGACTTCGTCAATCAATCAACAACCACCCAAATGAAATCATTTTCTTTGCTAGACCTCGTCAATCCTATAATAAAATCCATCGAAATACATGTCCACTTCTATTCAGGAATGGGTAAGGGTTGTAGGGTACCCACGGGTCTTTGATGTTTTGCCTTCACTTGCTGACAAGTAAAGCATTTAGATACATACTCCGCAACATCCCTACACATGCCACTCCACCAAAAATATCTCTTCAAGTCTTTATACATCTTACTTGTACCCGGATGTACTGTGTATCTGGTACGGTGTGCCTTTATCAAACAATTCCTTCTTCAACTGTAGAATATCGGGCACATCTAACGGGCCTTTCATTCGAAGACCTCCATCCGATCCAATGGTCCAATCTGCCTTAGGCTCTATGGAAAATTTTCCCTTTTGGGTTTGAATCCAAGAGTCCTCCAATTAAGCACTAGCCACTCTATCAACCCATGATGGTTATACTGATAACACGCCTAAAAATGCAATGCATCCACTAACCTTTGGTATGAAGTTAAACTGACTAAGGGTAAGAATGTCTCGGTACAACGAGCATCTCAAAGCTACAAGTTTGTGACGACGCTTCCTGCTCAAAGCATCTGCTACGACGTTCTCCTTCCCTGGATGATACTGAAGCATGAACTCATAATCCTTGATGAACTTAACCCATCGATACTGCCTCTGGTTGAGTTCCTTCTGAGAAAAGAGGTATTTTAGGCTCTAATGATCTATAAATGACTGAAACTGAATCCCATAAAGGTAATGCCTCCACACTTTAAGTGCGAAGACCACCGTTGCCAACTCTAAGTCTGTCTGGGATAATTTTATTCATGAGTCCTCAATTGCTGTAAGATGTAAGTCATTACTCTCTGAGTCTGCATCAAAACGTCTCCTAGTCCCGACAATGATGCATCCGTGTAGACAATAAATGTCTTGCCACTACTCGAAATGATTAACACTGGTGCGGTAGTCAACTTGTCCTTTAAAATCTCAAAGGCATGCTGACACTCTGGCTCTCAAATAAACTAAACACCCTTCTTTGTAAGGCATGTCAGTGGGGTAGCAATCTTAGAAAAATCCTGAATAAATTTCGTATAGTACCCGGCAAGCTCCAAGAAACTACGAATCTCTGTAACAATCTTTGGAGGCTCCTAATCAAGAACTACATCGACTTTAGTTGGATCAACTGTAATACCGTCCTTGCTAATGACGTGGTCTAAAAATCTAACTTCTGAAAGCCAAAACTCGCATTTGCTAAACTTCACATACAACTGGTCCTCTCGCAAAATCTGCAATGCTAAATAAAGAGATGTTGCTCATGCTCGGCCTCTGACTTCGAGTAGATGAGGATGTCATATATGAAAACAATAACAAACTGGTCCTAATACGGATGGACAATCTAATTCATCAAATCCATGAATACTGCGGGTGCATTAGTTAACCCAAATAGCATAACAAGGAATTCAAAGGACCCATACCGAGTCAGAAATGTGGACTTGGGAATATCCATCTCCCGTATGTGCAACTGGTGATAATCAGATCAAAGATCAATCTTCGAGAAACACTACACTCCCTACAACTGGTCGAATAAGTCATCAATCCTCGGTAACAGATACCTATTCCGGATGGTGACATTATTCAACTCACGATAATCAATGCACCAACGAAGGATGTCATCCTTCTTCTTCACGAAAAGGACCAGTGCTCCCCATAGAAAGGAGAATGGCTCCAGTGAATAAATCCCTGAGAAATGAGCTCCTCTAACTAAGTCTGTAACTCACTAATCTCAGCAGGTGCCATGCGATAAGATATATAGGATATCGGTGTTGTGTCCGGCTACAACTCTATGCGAAACTCAACCTCTCTTTACTGGAGGCAATCCAGGTATGTTCTGAAAGTTGTCCTGGTATTCGGAGACTACTCTGGTCTCGCACAAAATTGTTAGACCCTAGAGGGGGGTGATTAGGGTCTTATGCTAATCTAATCTGATTTTATACCAATTAAAACTAATTAACAAATTATTCTTGCAAGAGAGATATACAATATGTTACAAGTAAGAATAATCAATATGAACAAAGAGCAATATCCTAGCAATGATATATACTATGAGATATATATGAGGATATATAATAAACACAAAGGTAAACAATCTAAACTAGATAGTGGGCAATATAAACAATAAGCAATATACAAATGCGATATAAGATATGAGCATAAGAAAGGTGCGTCAATGCAAGCACAAACAAACGAT